GTGAGGGTAGATTAATGATGGAGGGTAAATTAAACAAAAAAAAAACGTATTCTCCCCCGCACGGTCCATTATCCTTCGCCTTATCCAAAAATCGAGGCGATCAATGTCAACATTGATGAAATGGCGAGCTCCTCGCGAAATCTCAGAGGAAAATTTGCAGAAGATAAATTTGCAGCTATGCTCTTCCAGGGACGTTGCGTATAAATCACACGTCTCTGAGAAATATGTAGACAGAAATGGTCCGTACACGCGGTGTTACCTCTCTGCGATGTCGTGGAAAATTTTCGTTTTCCTTTTTTTTTTTTTTTCCTTTTTTAAGGTCAACGTTGCGTTACGCGAAAGTAATAATACGGGTCAAGTGGAGAAAAATCACGTTCGATAAATCCGCTATTCGCTCGTTTAAGCAGATTTGATTTTCGACAAGGTGGAATTTTCGGGGAGAGCCGAAAATCAGCATGGAAAAGAGCGAGGGAAATCGTGAAAGCTTCGCAACGTGAATTCACCCTTGAAATAGCCATAAATCCCATCTAGAGTTTCTTTTCGCGCGAAATTTCTCCTGACTCAGCCAGCTGTTTCAATCATCCGGCATGATCGTCTCGAGAGAGAGAGAGAGATTGGCCAAGAACGATGGTTACTTATGAATCATTCATGATCCCCTTGAAAAAACAATTTGTCGTGCAAACAAAAATTTGTTTCCGAACAAACATGTATATTCCATGGGGAATTCCGCGAAGTTTTCGATTGGATCGACTTGGCGAACGGCACAAGTTGAAATCGATTAAACATCGGCGATGATTAAAACACAACATTTAAAGCGGAATTGATCGAAACGCGAGAGTTTGCGGATAAGAAGTTTTCCTTTGATTGCTCGGGATTCGTGCGAAATTCTCGAGCGAACGTTTCAGCGTTTCCGGGAAGGAGTCGTGAAAAGGGGTGGGAAATCGTCGAGAGTGGAGCAGCCATTAAAATTCGCGTGAATTAAAACAGTAAAAAGCATCCACGCGGAGGGTTGAAAAAGTTTACGCCGAACCTTCCTGCTCGGTAAGAGACACTCGTGTTGTTTTACTCCCGTAATATTTATAACGGTTGACGGTTCGAGTATTTGCTCGTAAAAAAAGAAAAAAAAGAAACTTCCACTCGGTACAAAGAAGAATAGGATTCGTAAAATAAAAATAATCAAGGGACCGTGCGTAATTGTACTCGTTGTGCCGGAATTCGCGGTGGAATTAAGCTCGAGAGATTTTCACGCGCGGGCGGTGACGACTGGTTTCGATAAAAAGATTCTATCGTTTTTTTTTTTTTTATATCGCTTTAAACTGGATCAAGAAATTAGGTCGGTTTTAAAAGAATAGCGAAAATTAAAGTTATACAAACCAACAATTAGAGGAAATTAAAGCTAAACGTAAATTTTTGATTTATCTTCGTTTCTAAATCTTTTTTTTTCTTACTCTCTCTCTCTCTCTCTCTACTTACTTTCCTTCTTTCT